GACAAGCACAAGGCAAAGGTGATGCCGAAAGCTGTGTGTCTCAGCATGCAGGACCACTCAGTGGGCTGGCCAATGAAGGTCAGAGAGCACAGGAAACACAGAGTCAGAGAGAAGAGCAGCAGGAAGCTCAACTCAGAGTTACTCGCTTTGACAAGAGGTGTGCGACGAAACCAAAAGAAGATACATGAGACCGCCAGAGTTAGGCTCGCTCCAAACACAGAGAAAGCAGTGAGGAGAGCCCCCATTGTCTCTTCATAAGATAAGAACTCGATCACCTTTGGTACACACTTGCTGTGATCTTCATTTGACCAATACTCCAGTGGACAACGTGAACAATCTGCAGAATCTAAATAGAAAATGTGAAAGACTGAAATGTGCTCATGCTGTAAAGTGAGAGATTGGATACAGCATTTTTTAGGAATAATACAATAAAAAGAATCAAATAAGAGGACATGTTTTACTTACTGCTGGAGTTGCTGATCTCTCCAGCGGCACAGGCAACGCAGGAGAAACAGCAAATGGGTTTTCCTTTAATCATAGCCTGTCGGAAACCTGGTAGACAGCTCTCACTGCAGACAGACTGAGGCCTCTGAAAGTACATCATTACTCAATAGTTTTTAAGCCACACAAAAAAAACTCCATCATAAGCTGTCAGAGTAGAACAAAATCAGAAATGATGCAACCTCTACTTCAGAGTTAACAATCAACTCAATACCATAACACTGACTATGTTATGACATTAGTTTAAATACGGACATTTCAAACAGATTAATACCTCCATTGATTTAGCAGCCCACGTTATCTTTATTCCATTCATTTTGAACTGCCTTTCTTTTGGTTTTTTAGCATCGTAGCTGCCAACAGGCACAAACAAAATGTCTCCTTTTAGGTTCGGCTGCCAGTTCACAAGTTCATAAGCTGCTGCAGGATCTCCATTTCCATCAAAATACACTCTTTCTCCTGACCGAACTGTAAAATTCACATCCTGAAGGTTTTTCCCAACCTACCAATAAAAGACATTAAAAAGTACATACTTGAGTATAATGGGGAGATGTATTATTTAAATTGATCATATTGTAAATAATTTGCATGGTTATAGTCTCTAACCTCTTTTGAGTCTAGATGACCTGTCCAGGCACATGAATTGTTTGGTCCGCTTTGTCCACATTTTAGCATGTTGTGAATTGAATGAGCTACAGCATACACAGCCTTATAAACATTGTTAGAGATTCTCAGCTCTGACATGTCTGTAAAAGGATTTTCTATGTCTTGTAGTCTCTCTGAACCAGAGCACTGCTCCCCACCATGCCGACTTGATTGGAAACTGCAACCAAACGTTGCCTCCCAGAACTCCTTCAGTAAGGTGCTCTGTGGATCCTGACTTGGGTTAACCTGTAAAAGAAATTCTAGCAAGCCTGGGATCTTTGCCTTGCTTATAGCAAAGCCCAGAGATCCTGTCAGTATGCCAGAGTACCTTTTCAGAGCCAAGTGACTTGCAGTTATCCAGGATTCACTTCCCACCCACTGTATCCCCGTCAAGTTCTGTCTCAAAGCTTCTTCAAGTAGAATATCCATCTCCCCCTGAGCAAGAAAGGCAACTAAAACTTTTGCAGTGCCTCCAAGGATTACTCTGACCACCCGTTCAACCTGCTCTCTAGAGCCAGTCCTGGAAATGGCCTCAGAATACTCTACACAGACCCCCTCCTGACTTGCGGCTGAGATAAACGTGGCCATTCCGTTATTACCATAGTCGTTGTCACTTCTGACTGCCCCGACCCATGTCCATCCAAAGTGCTTTACCAGTTGAGCTAGGGCTCTGCTCTGATAGTAGTCACTGGGGATAGTTCTGAAGAAAGAGGGGTACTCCTTTCTGTTACTGAGACATGCACATGTTGCAAAGTGACTGATCTAATAGAAAAGAAAAGGAGAATGACAATTAAAATTACTGATAACATTTAAAAATGTATATTATTGCCTCTAACTCAACTTTTTAGACAGCTATGATATCATCTGAGTACAATGCAATAACAATTGTCACATATATTAAACAATTACCACTGGAATCTGAAATATCCCAGAAATTTGTAGCATCCCGATGGTTGTGGAAGACTCAGAGGTTCCGATGACAGCATGAACAGATGAATGACCAGTGCAGGTTTTTCCAGAAGTCCTTTCCTGTCCGTTAATGAGACCCATCACTGCACGCGTTGAAGGTAGCGTTGAACCACAGCTGTCAAATATCTTATAACCAACAGAGATATCAGGCAGTAGAGAGCTGCTGTTGTTGATTTCCTCAATGGCAAATATCATTGTTTGAGCAAAGCGAAATTCTCTTAAGTTTATCCTGAAAAATAAAAAATAAATTTTATGCAATTCTTTTAAGTTGAAATACGATTAAAAATGGACACAAAAATAAAACAATACCTGGAGCAAATGAGAGCTTCTGGAGTATCAGTCAAAGACAAAGAGGGCTTTGAGATCTTGTCATGTATAGAAAAAGCTCCTCCAATAGTAACATTGCCTTTCTTAGACAGCAGAGGAAACTCTGGAACTCCCAGCATCTCACAGAAAGCAGCGTCCTCCTCCGCTCCGAAGGGTCGCACAAAAACCAACAACAGAATCATAATACATATGTAACCTGGCATAATCACAAAATGGCTCATGTGTTTTCACAGCCCTTTTTCTCTGAAATGATTTTTTATATTGCTGACCATAGTGTGTGTCTTCAGGAATGGGCAGAGCTTTTTATTCCTGCTGGGATGATGACTGAGTTCTTGTCAAATCACAGTGTGACAACAATGATGTCAGACGTCTTTGCTGTTTACTTCTCCTTTTGACATTTTTCTCTCAAATGTGATATATATTTGTTTGGCGTGATGAGATGAGGGGATATGTTAGAAGATTGATATTCTTATATTTATTTGAATACATGCTGGAGTCCTGTGTTTTGCTCCAGGTGATATTTGGGGTCTTAATGTCTTTCAGTTCTGTAACAGTTTTGAAAAAAAAAGACCCTTCTTTTAAAAAACAAACTTCGTGGTCTTTCATCGATCAGAATAATTCCTGCCCTTTGGCGATTACCAGTTCAACCTGGTTTGAGTATCACCATGATCCAGGTTTCTATGGCCAGGGGTGTTGACCTCTGGTAGTACATGTTAAAAATGAGTCATTTCATATAGCTAAGGGACACCGCTCTCATGTTGCTAGGACTCAGGCTAAGCTGAGCCTGAAAGATTGATAGGAGGCCATGCTTGCATGACTTAAGCACCCACAGAAGATGTCATTCGAGGTCAGAGACAATGTGAGCTCAGCAGGCAAAGGCAGGCTCCTGAGTGTGCTGGCATTGAGAGAATGAATGTTACCTCACTTGTGAAAAAAAGCTCCTGAGCTCTGGCATGAGATGGAATGGTACTAACCAGGTTTATTTATGCTCATGGTGAGCATGATCTGTGGAACCAAACTTGTGGATGTGTGGGTATGCAAATACACTGCCGAACGCATCTGTGTTAGAGTAAGATGGTCACTTCACAGCAGCTCCAAGTTGCAAAAACACTCAGTATGCTGGCCGATCTTTGGTGGTTATGCTTTGGGGTGAGCTAGAATGAGTTACTAGAGAGAGGGATGTCTGAGTGTCCCCCCTTTACATGTTGTGTCAATGACCAGACCTCAGAGAGGCCAATTTAATGGATGGATAAGTTTGCACTATGATCAAAATAAAAACAAATGACTCATTAGGTCTCAATATTTCCCAATTATTACAATTTTATAATTATTATTTTTTGGTAATTTCTTTGCAATGGGTTTGATCAATTTATCCATTATATAAGTTGTGGATGCAAAGTGTTTTTAAGATGGCCTTAACTGTGCTTGTTATAAAGAAGAGATTCATAGTAATATTAAGTTTTTCTTTATTATTATTATCATTAATGAAATATTATTACAATGCAATGGTCAAATTGAATTACATTACAAACATTTCCTATCATTGATTGATTATTAATTATTTCAATTACTTTTATTATTTATAAGAATGAATTATACCATTTTGAGTACTATGATCACATGATAAGCAAGAGTTTATTTTCACAAGGAAAAACAATATTTATGGCTTATAGTGAAATTACAGAATGGTGAACTCTCAAACACCGAAAGTCATTTTTAAAATCATGTTAATTTGTAAAAATACAATCACAAAAAGTGTGTGTATCAACTACATGAATTCTTTTAAGGTTTGATTTTCCCTAGCATGTGTTTCTTTGTGTTCAGTTCAGGTTTCAGTGCAA